GCAGTAAACAAGCGCGGGCACTGAGTGACGTCACAATGGGAGACGTGGGTAATGAGAGTACATACTAAACAGACGCATGACGAGAACTGGGTTGAAAAGGGGGAGGAGGGAGAGGGGTTGTTGGGAGAGGGGTGAAAGAGAGAGAGAGAGAGGAGAGAGAGAGAGAGGAGAGAGAGAGAGAGAGAGAGAGAGAGAGAGAGAGGCAGAGAGGAGAGAGATGAGAGAGAGAGAGCAGAGAGAGAGCAGAAAGGAGAGAGGAGAGAGAGAGAGGCAGAAAAGGCCGAGAGAGAGAGAGCGAGAGAAAGGAGAGAGAGAGAGGCAGAAAAGGAGAGAGAGAGAGAGGCAGAAAAGACGAGAGAGAGAGAAGGAGAGAGAGAGAAGGGAGAGGAGAGAGGGAGGAGAGAGACGAGAGAGAGAGAGAGAGAGAGAGCTAGAGAGAGAGAGAGAGAGAGAGAGAGAGAGAGCGAGAGAGAGAGAGAGAGGAGAGAGAGAGGAGAGAGAGAAGAGAGAGAGAGAGAGAGAGAGAGAGGCAGAAAAGGAGAGAGAGAGAGAGAGGCAGAAAAGAAGAGAGAGAGAGAAGGGAGAGAGAGAGAGAGAGGCAGAAAAGAAGGGAGAGAGAAAGAAAAGGGGGAAGGGAATTTATAAGAGGGAGACCCGTAGAGATGGGGTGGGGGTGGGGGGGGGGGGGAGATGAAATACATAAATTCCCAGCAGACGCCATTCATCCCGAGCGCTTACATGTGCGTAAAGATCGCAGACGACCTATGCCTCCTCTCACTCTTTCTCTTACCCTCCTCTTCCTTTCTTCTCTCTCACGCCTACCTACCCTATCTCCTTTCCTTCTCCTTTCTCTCCCACCCACCTAGTCTCCCTCTCTCCCTTCCCTCAAAATCTCCCTAAATCTCTCCCTCTCCCTCCTCCCCACCTCTCTCTCTCTATCTCTCTCTCTCTCTCTCTCTCTCTCTCTCTCTCTCTCTCTCTCTCTCTCTCTCTCTCTCTCTCTCTCTCTCTTTCTCCCTCTCCCTCTCTCACTCTCTCTCTCTCTCTCTTTCTCCCTCTCCCTCTCTCTCTCTCTCTCTCCCTCTCCTCTCAAAATCCCCCCTCCCCTCTTCTCCATCCCTCCCCCCTCTCTCTTAACACATATACATACAGAGCTCACCAGCCATCAACGCAAGGGCTTAAAGGCTAAACATGAACTGTTATCACCACGAAAGCGTTAGGGAAGGGGGGAGAGGGGGGGGGAGAGGAGTGGGAGGGATGGGAGAGGAGAATGGGAATGGAAAAGCGAGAGGAAGGGAAAGAAAAGGGAAAGGAGGACCACCACCACCAAGAAAGAAATGGAGAAAGAGTAGAAAGAGGAGCAAGAGGAGAAAGAGGAGAAAGAGGAGAAAGAGAAGAAAGAGGAGAAAGAGGAGAAAGAGATAGGACGGAGGAGAGAAAATTGAGACAGTCAAACACACGTGGCCTTTTCGATGGACAGGAGCGGCTGGGAAAAGGGTAACATGGGTAGAAGGGGGGAGGGGGTGAAAGGAGAGAAGGATGCGAAAGGGAGATAATAAGACAAAAAAAAAATAGTAATAACAGGAGAGAAGGAAGCATTATGAGAAGGGCCTATAAGTCGTCCGCCCATGCTCAAAAAGACTCAACAAAACCAACAAAACAAAACAAAACAAAAAAAAAGAAAAAGAAAAAAGGCGAAAGAGACGACAAACAAAAACAAAAAAAGAAACCAAAAACACACAGAGAAAATAAAAATAAGAAAAAAATGCAACCAAGAAAAAAACCTTAGAAACAAAACAAGATTACAAGAAAACGAAGAAAGCGACGTGTCTCCGCGGACACTCCGTACCAGCGCGGCGTCCTCCGAGCCAGCCGTCCTCGCCTCCTCAGTGTCTGCCGACGATGAATTGCCGAACGACCTCGCGGGCCGGCCGTCTGCCTGGCCGTCTGGCCGTCTTTCGAGACGTCTGGGCGTGACACGCGCGCGCGCGCCTATGTACGTGTGTGCGCGCGCGTTTGCGTTGATGTTTGTGTGCGAAAGTGAGCGCGTATGAATGCGTGTCTGTGCGTGTGTGTTGCACGCGCACGTGACCGTAGCAAGACACAGTGCTTGTGGCAAAAGCCCCGCCGTCCAGTTGCACGCGCGATCCTCAACTGAAGGGGCGAGGGGTAGGGGAGAGTGAAGGGGGTAGGGGAGGTAGGGGAGTTGGGGAGTGGGGGAGGGAAGTGGGAGAGGGGGCGAGGGGGGAAAGAGGAAGAGAGACACGAGCGGGGGGTGGGGGTGGGGGGTCGAAAGGAGAGTTGCAATCAGCTGACACTCCCCCTTCCCCTCCCCCCCACCCCCACTCCGCCCACAAGCACCTGCAACGCACCCGCGCCGAAGACATTCCCGCCAGTTGCAGGTGCGCCCGCGATGCCTTCGCTCCACATGTGCAACTTTAAGTACGACACGCCAGGACCCCCCTTCCGCTCCCCCCCAACCCCTTTTCCCTCTCTCTTTTCCTCGTCAACATCCCTTCCCTTCCCTCTCTTTCCTTTACGTCCCCCTCTCATCCTCCTCCCTTCCCTCTCTTTCACTCCTTCTCCCCCTTCGCTTCCCTCTCTTCCTCCTCTCAACTCCCTCCTCCTGACCCCCACCCCTTCCCCTTATCTCGTGCCCTCACCCACCCCCTCCCACCCTCCCCTACCCTGTCCTTCCCTCTCCAAACACGGCAAGAATATTCCCCAGTCAGCTAGCTATTGCTTCCGCGTCATTAAGTCCACGCAAAGTGCTTTTTCAGACCGCCCTCTCCCTCCCCCTCCCCCCTCCCCCTCGCCCCGATCCTTAAGTTCCCACACGCACACAACCAATTAAATTCAATCATAATACAAGAGAAAAAAGAAAACCCTTTCCCAAAGACAATAAATAGAATTCAGTCAGAGAGTAAATCACACGAGTCCTTGGTCCCGGGGCGTCACAGCGACGTCGCGTAGGCATAGGCCACGCGGTAGACGGAATTCGAAAAAAAGGGGGACCTCCGCATGGCCGTCAGTATGACGCAACTTCAACCCCTCCTCCCCCTTCCCCCCTCTTGCTTGTCCTTTCCCCCCTTCCCTCCGTCCCCTTCCCCCTCCTCATCCTCCCTACCTCCCTGCCTCCCACACCCTCTCCATTCTACACAGACGGGCCGGGCCACTAAACCTGGCCAGGAGGCCTGGTAACGCCGCCACAATACGCAAGAGAGGAGAGAGAGAGAGCGAGGGAGGGAGACAGCGTGGAGGAGGAGGAGGAGGAGGAGGAGGAGGAGGAGACGAGTGAGCCAGACGGCAGGCTCGCGGTGGTAGGTTGGCAACCCTGATATACCAACTCCGGCACCGGCCTTGAGTACCACCCCTGGCCCCCTCCCCCACCCTCAGCCCCCGTGCCGCCCACCACCGGTGTATGTTTGTGTGAGAATCCACACATATGTACTCGCATATCCGGGGGCCCGGGCGACGTAGGCCTGTTTTTACACTCGACCTCGCTGGGCGCGGAGGGCCACGTCTCTCCCGTCGCCCTCGCCAGCGCCGAACGCGACGCGCCCCTCGAAACGGGAGGGAATCTCGCATGTGAAGGAATCGCAGTGTGACGATCGAGAGTTAAGGTGGAGGGCCACCCCGGCCCCCCGCCCGCCCGGCCCCGCCCGGCCCCCGGCCTCCGTCGCACCCGTGCACGACCATATTTTGCATGTTTTCTCCTCGTGGAAAGAAGGCCGCGGCGATCTGCCATTCGGGACACACCGCAGGGGCCTCACCCCGCCCTTCGGCACCGACGCCGCGCCGGATCAACGCGTATTATCACAGAAAATCGCAGAAAAGCCTCCGATGCCGGGTTGGCGAGGGAACTACTTGGCCGCGCGGAGGCCGCGGGAGTCGAGCGAGCCGCGGCTCCGTCGCCGTCTCCAGGAGAAGGATAAACAGGTTTTGGCTTCGGGCGAGGCGAGTCCTACGAGGAGAAAAATGCCGGCCAGACATTTAAATTCCGACGGTCCTTTTTATCCCTCGGAGACCACCGTTCGGGCCGAGAGCACGGCGGCCGCCGACAAGCAGCTCCAGACCGCCAGATGCAACGAGCGATAAGCCAAGATCACTCCGAAATGAACAAGAGAGAGAGAGAAAAAGGGAAAAATGAATCCCACTGACTGTCATTCATCCCATCCACACGCGAGAGGGACAGCGAGGCACATCCCCGCCGCCACAAGAAGTATTTCACGTCCTCTCCCTCTCCCTCTTTCTCTCGCACGTTGGACATTGCACAATTCGAGAGGCGCGCGAGAGGAGGTGCGGCCCACTTCGGCGCTCGCTCTCTCTCTCTCCTTTCTGTTTCTCCGTTTCTCGCATTTTGTGGCCATTTTCTCTCTTCTTTTATCTGGCGATTATGTTACTTCCCTGCTAAATTCTCTCCTCCCCCCCCTCTAATCTCTCCCTCGCTTGAGTCTCCTTACTCCGACGATAAGTAAACAAATAAAATGAAATTAAAAAGAATAACATTAATCACCTCTAATTCTATTTTATTTACTAATCCGCAAGATATAGTTGACAGTCATCCGCCTCCCTCACTTAAACCTGGATGCTGGCTGCCTTATCTCAACTGTCTCTTTTTTTCCCTGTATCTTTATCACAATTCTCGAAAAAAAAGAAAAAAAGAAGAAAAAAAAAACCTTATCGGTACACACTCGAGATAAGCATTGCGTAGGGCTTAGTAAAATCTTATTATAAGGGAAGCGCCGAGGTCACGGTATCAGGAGATACCGCGGAAGGTGGGGTGGGGTGGGGGTGGGGGTGTGGGGGAGGCGCCGTTCGCAGCAGAGACACGTTCAGCGATGATCATAAATAGGCCTACGTTTTATTCCACTGCCCCTTTCCCCTCCCCCTCCCCCTCCCCCCATGGATTCACACTCGCTCTTAATAAAATAATTCATTGATAAGCAGCCCGCGTGCCTTCCGGAGGCGCCCGGCCGCGACGCCGCAGAGCCACTCAC